AGTTAAATACCGTAATTTCATTAACTGATATAATGTTAATATATCGACCTATTGAATTACTGAAATCTGTTTTGTAACTTTGTAATACACTAATAACCACCAAATGCAGGTGGTGATGAGAAAGTCACACGATGAACCAAAGCCCATCACAAGCAGCTTTTAAATAATAACATGAAGAGAAGGTCATTCACACAAACGCTAAACACCATCATGGTAACACACATGAAACTGAAATAATGCAGTAAACATTCATTTAACAACATTAGGTGTAACACACAACCCTAATATACAAAACTGATAAGAAAAAATTATGAAGAAACATAGTTATTTCAACAAAAAAACATCAAATTTGAAATGTAACGCAGGGAATTCTGGGAATGTCAATTTACGGTTATTCACTGTAAATTATACGGTCTTTTTCACTTCCAAAAACAGTATACTACCGTAAAATTAATGTCCAATACATGTGATGTCCAATACAGTTTTTCACCGTATATAGTAGGGGAATTTACCGTTAACCATTTAACAGGTTTTTACTGTAGCATTTTTACAGTCTTTTACCGTTAGATTCACGGTCATTTTTTACAGTGTATATATATATAAGACGCCACTGAGAAGTGAAAGTCACTTCTTATATATATATATACTGTATATATATATAAGAAGACACTGAAAAGTGAAAGTCACAGTTCTGGCAGTTATTTCCAGATAGAATTGGGTCAACAACATGAGTAAGTGCATCTGAAGCATCTAAATAAATAAATTTATTGTAGGCAAAATAAATCAAAAAGAAGGCTGGTGCAGGAATGTGTTTGCCTGTCAGCGTGCATTATTGGTGTGAAATACCTCTGAGATTTGTAGTTATCAGCTTTGAAGGATTGTAGGGGCTTAAGCTGATCCACAGGGTACTAATTAAAATCTGAACAGACATTCATGAGTTATGAATGCAGTCAATTCTCAGTTGCCTTCATTTAATGGACCGTGAAGGTGTAAATGTGTGAGAATGATAGTGAGAAACAATCAGATGCATTCCTCAGTGTAATGAATGGGTTTAGCTGCCAATAGCAATTATTTATCAACAATTACTTAATAGCAATTGTCTTAACAGATATTTGTTGATTTACTTTTGACTAACGTTATTCATTAATTAGCAAGATTGAGGTATCTACTCATTCAATAATGTTAGCAGCCAGTTGGCAAACCAGTTCTGCAGATCCAGCATCCTTCAGCAATCAGCAATTTCTTGAATGTGCGGGTTTTGCCTGAAGTTTCTCACACTGCTGAATGTAGGATTCACTCAACTGTGGCACTTCCAGCTCAAGCTGTTCACAAGAGCAATGGTATTGCACTTTCACTAAGCAGGTTGGAAGCTAGAAATTGAGTTTTCAGGGCTCAGAAAGAAGGATTTTTCCCTGCTGGCCCAGAACATACACACATATATTG